TCCCTAGGTGCAAAATGAAACCGCAACCACCAGTGAAGTAGACAGAAAAGAAGGCTTAATAGGAAAGAAAGGAAAGGAAAGAAAGGAAGTACACCCAAAACGCTTCTGGGCGGGCAGATTGGCAGGTGGGAACTGCGCTTGATACTGGTTAATTGTTACTTTTATTACTAGAGGTCATGAATATTCATTAGTAGGAGGTCCATTACACTACCTATGTTCTTCCTTTAAATTTGAATCCATACGTTTTCTCCTGCACCTACGCACCTTCCTCACAGGTAAAGTGAGGAACTTGATTACCTAATTGCATATGCCCAGTGCGAGTCAGGTTGCCCCAATTAGATTGCCCAATTAGTCTCTCGCCCTAATGACCAAAATGCTTGCTTGGGTCTTTTTGATAGGAGAAAAATCTATGAATTATTCCTGTATGCTTCCCTCAGGCCTCAAGGAAGGAAGATGGCAAATTACCTCGCCCTCCTGGCACTCAGGGCTAGGTGAGCCTTTCGCTTTTCTCTTAGGGCTGCCCTCTCATAGCTAACTACCTACCTACCACAAAACCACTTTGAATAGTCAAAAGAAAATGAGTGATAGTGAGTGAGTGAATCTTGAGTGGCAGGAGTGAATGGGTTCAGATAAAAATGAAATGAATTTCATCATAAGACTAAGAGCACATCTCCCTAACAGAGCAGAAGTAAGATAACATGCATGCATGTAAGAGATTTTCAGTCTGATAATGGTGAAACTTATTGCTCTGTGGTGTCAGTCATCTTCTGAGGATAAGATGAGATGTGGAAGAGTCAGAGATTTGATAAGAATGGTAAATGTACTACAAAATTAATTTCAGAGTATGAGAGAGTGCTGACCGGAAAAATATGAGATACCTAGTAATGCCAAAGCACTTTCACATTGGTGACAATGAATATATTCTGCAATAAATCTGGCCTGTTCTATAAGCACTTGGCTTCTCAAGGATTGAGAGAGAAACAGATCATTTTGTACAAGATTATAATTTTGATTAATGAGTGGAACCAAAAGAGATTAAGGAAGTTTACTGTATTGGCAGAAGTATTTTGATAGCATACCATAGCATCAATTTAGACATGGGAAAGGCAAAGAAAGATATAGACTGACAGATTAGAATAAAATAGAGTTGGAAACAGGACTGAAGATGGTAATGAAATCATAGCTTTTTTTATGTTGTAAGGAGATAAATGAGCAAGGTAACCAGGTGGCATTGTGTGTAAAGGAAATATTAATAGGATATTTTTAATATGAACCCTTTAGGGTGATGAGAAATAGTGTAGTGTTTTATATTATATTATGTTATATTATACTAAACAAGTTATGCTTTGTTAGACAAATGTAACCTTCACACAAACCTAATGACATTTTAAGATGAAACATTTAAAAGTTTAACATTTTTACAAAGACCACTCCCATGGAGTGGTTGGATGAGGCAGAGTGTAGCAAAGGTATTCTGATCTGGGAAGGCAGAGACTGAATGGCCAGGATTCAGAAGAATCATGTGCGTGGTCATTGATAGGTTAGAAAGTTGTGATTCATCATCATTGATGAGATAAGAAAATACCTGAGAATATATCAAACAAGTTAAACCTGAACTTTAGTAAAGGAGAGGTTTGAGGAGAATGATAGAAATACTATGATTCTGAGTCATCAAATACATGCTTATAAAGCAGACAAGTTTGGAAATTTGGGAGAAGGTCATTTTTTCTTTCTTCCTTTTTTTCTTTCTTCCTTTCTTTTTTTTTTTGTGTATGAGCTGAAGGGTGTGTGTGTTTTCCAGAGAGAGACAGAGGGAAAGGGAGAAAGCACCCTCCCACCCCCTGCCCAGTGGACTAGTGGTTAAGAAAGCCAGATCTCACATGGATGACCAGGATAGTCTAATCCCAGCCCCAGTGGTTTGGAAAACATGCCAGCATGTGAGTGTGTGCTCAAGATCCCAAAAGGAGGGAGAAACTGAGAAGCGATTGGTGTAGCCATTCCCCATTAGAGGAGCACTTTCTCCCTCTCACTGTCTCTCTATGGTAAACACACGTGTCCTCTGGCAAATAAAAAAAATGCAAGGAAGGTAGGAAACCCCCTAGTGGGATATAGTTACACCACAATCCCTCTCCTCTACTTCTCCATCCCCTCAGGATTTGGAGCATGCACGTACATGCCCTTGGCATTTCTCAAGCTGCACTTTAGCGGAGATAACAAACCATAGTAGATAATGTGGGCTCTATCTCCCTTTACCAGAGGCTATGGAACTGGCCTGGATAAGGTGGTTTCTTTGTTACTCATAAACTTGTGACTCAAAAGTCTTATAAATCAAACAATTATTTATTATATTTTACCACATTATACCATATCATGCTATAAATAAATGAAACGTAAACACTATGCAATGGGTTCTGATATCAACTACCACTAGGAAGTATTTAATTACAATTTAACTTGCAAAGCTACCAAAATAATTTCTATCCTGACAAATTTACGTATTTTCCTATATATCCTGTGGTACCTCCTGTTACCTGTGACCTTTGATACAATGTGCTATTCTGTCATTTTTCTTTTCCTGTAAGGCTTACACTTGACATAAGGATATTGTAATGAAATAGTTTTTAAATTTAATATTTTTCTTGAAATTGAAATATCTAAGATTTATGAACTATTCTAAGTATCAGAGACATGTCATAATAAAGCAACATTTCACATCCTGGTTGGTGGTTTGTAGGTGAAGCAAACTACAAATCAGCAGCTATGTCAGAATTTCCTTTGCAGTTTTTTACACTCTGATTAATACACTCTCATATGTCTGCTTTTTTATACTACCTAGAAATGTCTTAACTGGACATTTGTAAACCAGTAATCAACCATACAATCTTATTAATCAAGTGCAATAATTTTTCGCAGTTTCATACCTAGGGTTCTTTCTACAAAGCATTCACATTGATTCTTCAAGTCAGTGAGTATAATTGCTTTCACTTATTTTTTTTCTCTCAATAAGTAAAAAAAGTCTATCATTCTTGATAATTCTGTCTAAACTCAGAAAGTATTAAAGGACAGTGTGAGAAAATTGTTTCTGCAAAAAAAAAAATGGCGTGTCTTTGTTTTAGAAGCAATAGTGTAAGGTATAAATCCAGCTGTTTTATTTTTCTTTTGTCTTGGAATTTTCTTGTTCTATTTTTCCGAAAGTCTAATTTAATTCTCAAATTAATTTATTTAATGAGCCATCATGGTCTCACTATTTTGAAATCTTAGATCAATTGTGCATATATTATTTATCTTTTAAAAATTGCTATTTTTTCCAATTTTTTGGTATCAATTTGTAGATTAGCCAGATGCACATATGAATGCTGCCTCTTCTCCTTTCCTGTGAAATTCTATTTTGCTTATACGTATTTACTCATTTTAAATGTAAAATGATATGTAATTAATGCCATTGTATTTCTTGATTAGTGATAAAATAAGTCATTTAATATATTCATTAAATAATAAATGTTTTTACAATTTTATCAACAAAATGGCGTATCTACAGGTCAATCTAACTATTCATCTGAGTGTGACTAGAGAGTTATAATAATTTACTTATACTTTCCGTTAATTCGGTTATTGTCTGATGACTTACATTTAACATTTTGGCTTATCTGAAATTTATTTGTATACTGATGTAAAACTAGTGCTGTGAATCTGTGTAGTGCTTTAATTTTGAACCAGTTTTTCATCTGATTCTATCACTATGCCAATTCTGTTATATATTCATCACAACAATATCTACTTTAATTCCTTCCTGAGTGTAACACTAGTTTAAGTATTCTAAGTACTTAAATGCAGCAGTTTTATAATTCTATTATGCTCTTAATTACAATTTCTGCATATAGATATATAAATTGGCCAAATGCTTTCAAGAAATAGTTTTAGAAAATGTAAAAAATTTTAAAGTTTAAAGTTTATTTCAATTCTTTTCTAATTTCTGGAAATTTGTAAAATTTATAAATTTATAAAATTATAAAAAAATCATGGACATAGAAAATTTTCTATATATAAAGTGAAATGGTATTTGATATTTCTAAATATGCAGAATTTTATCTTTAAGCAACTCTTAACATATTCTTAAATTTTTAATAAAAAGAAGGCAATACAAAACTTTCAAAACTCTATCCACACATAATCCTGAAATCCAGAATAACAAAATCTATTGTTTTATATACATACTAAGAATACTTGTTATATTATACAATTAATATACACACCATATTTAACAATTCTTTTACTTATGGCAATTTCTGTTAGTAATTCTATTTTCCTTGAATATCTATTAAAAAAAATAAAACCCCACTGTGTGAGTAACTTTAAATATATCTTTAACATTTGGGTAAGATAAATTATTTTTAAAAGAAAATGAAAAATATGTATATTTTGTTTTCCTAAATATTGATAAATAATTTTTTACTTATAATAATTTATCAATTTTGAAATTATGTTTAAAATAGTGTTCTCATAAGTAAAAAAATCATTTCATTATTTTTATTTGCATTTATGTGTTTTAAAGGAATATTTTCTATTTGTATTGGATTTTGTGAATACTTGCTTATTTCCCTTGATCAAGTTGGGTAGGTCTTTGGTGTTTTATTAATTTAGATTATTTGCATATGTATGCTTCTGTGTGTGTGTGTGTGTGTGTGTGTGTGTACGTGTGTGTTAGCTAAATTCAATCTGGTTAAGAAGAACAAAGATGGTAAGATGACAGATGGGGATAGACATAGTTTATATTACCAATTTAGTATTTACCTAGAGAAGTGAGTTTTCTCCCTATTGATAACAGAATCCACATACATTTTAGTGATTACTTTTTATCCATCTGTCTTGAAATAAAGAAACTTATCTAATTGAAACTAATGTAGTTGTATTTTAACCATTCCACACAATATTGACTTTATTCATTATACAGAGAATGTTGAGGGATAAAAAAAAGTATACACTTGTTAATCCAAATCTTACAAAACAAATGCAAAGAAGAAAAGAAATGCTATCACCTTATTAAAGGAGGGTAAAATTACTCTCTCTAATAGAAATATTGCAAAGAAAGAAGTGAGATTTTTGACTTGCATTTCCTCCCTTTTTTATCCTTTTGATATTATATCTAAATACTTACTTACTTACATATCTTAATAAATGCATTATTCACTGCATTGGCAATGCAATGACTAACTTTCCCTCCAATTTTTGTTGCAGACACATCAAAGAGAAAAAGCAGAACATTATCAAAGTTGAACTGAAGAAATCTGAGTCTTTTCAGAAACACTACGCCTACAAAATATGGAAAAGAAGCCAGAGGTAACTAACACAGAACAGAATATTTCCAGATCTCAACAGAAGCAAAGACTGTCCAGGGCAGACAAGACCAATATCATATCACATGAAGATGAGATAAAGTACATGGAATTGAAATTTCAGAAATCTTCTCATCTCCAGCACAGAAAATCGTTTGTTAGGAAAAAAAGAAAAGGTACACTGCTATATTATTTTGTTAGTTAGGCATAGATTGTTTGGTTTAAAAGATTAGTTTCCCTCTCAAAATTCTCACAAAGTTGCCACATTACACTAATGATTTATATTCAGCCTCTTCCTTAACTATTTTATCATACCACCATGGAACACATTGTCTCTTAAATATCTATGTTCATTTCATCTAAAATATCACTGACCTCAATTCTATTAGTTGGGACAACTACTTGTATAGTGATTGCATAAACTGTTTCTTCTCACTATTTTAAAAATAGTTCTTGGTGGGACTGGCAGGTGGCATGGCAGTTAAGGATGCTGAACTCCCTTATGACTGACCGTGGTTCAAGTGCCGGACCAGACCTGGCAGCTTGCTTGCTCGCTCGCTCTCTCTCACTCTGTCCATGGTCAAATTAAAATAAATAAATAAATAATGTTAAATAAAAAATAAAAAGGATTAAAAATTTTAAAAATAGTTCTTGGTATTAGCTTCATGTCAATTTAGTCTGAACTTTTCCTATGGGCCTGCTCTTAACTTGTCATGGAACCTAAGATGAAGAAATAATAACCAATAGTGGCAAAAATTAACATAATTAATTGTGACATCAAGGTGATGATTAAAAGAAAATTTAAGAATATTTTATGGGTAAAACATTTAAAACCTCATGAATTAACTGGATATTGGGAGTAACAAAGTTTCAGTGTAAATGTTCTGGTAGTGTAGTCATCTTATCTGCCATCTAAAAGAATCGGCTATAATGATTAATCCAGTTAAAAATAGATGATTTCCTGCATCTAGAATGTCTCATGATAGCTCAGGGAAAAATGTCCATAATGAAATTGGAATTAAGAGGCTGAATTCCTACAGAGAAACTGGGGGAGTAGATAAGATTGCAGATGAAGATTATGTGGAATTAAACATCGGTCATAGAGAAAGGTAACATATAAGACTTGAACAGAGATATTCTAAGAATTTTACCTGATCAGAGAGAAGTAGAAAATAAAATATGAGGGGCCAAGAAAAGTGAAATTATCTCCTGGGATTTAGCAATCGCAATCCTTCAGTTCTGCAGGATATAATCTCACCCCCAAATCCACCTCTGTTTCTTTATTTGCTTTCTGAGTTTCAGTCTAACTATAATTTGAATTTCATAGATTCACTGAGTTTGTTCACATCTAAAGACATTATGGATGCTGCCTTTCTGGGTGAAAGACTCCAGTATTCTCAAGCTGAGAGAGAAACCACCATGGGGAATGGTCATACCACAATCTCTTCCCCTCCATCTCTCCCTCTTCTTAGGAATTAGGAGATGCACATAAGCATACACATCCAGGGGGTTTCTCAAGCCATCAAGTTCATGACTCAAACTACATAGTTGGCCATGTGCCATTAAGCTCCTTAACCACTATGCTAAAAGTTGGTCTCACTTTTTCAGAGAAGTATTTCTAGTCCTCTTATGTCTCTTTTAAGCCATCTGGCCCATTTTTTTAGAGACGCATTTCCAGTCATCTATTTCTGATAAACCATGATAAATATAATCATTTTTGATAAAATATATGACATTTATTTTTATTGTAATTTCTGATTTACATGTAATCACAATACATCTTTGCAGGGTACAGTATGTATTGTGGAGAGTTCTGAAAATTATTAAACTTTTTATGAAAAATTTTATAGAAATGTAAAGGGGCAAGAATAGGAAGATAATCTTAAAGAAGAAAAAGTTGGAGAACTTATACTACCAGATGCCAAGAGCTAGTTTAAAGCTATAGTAATTAAGTTTGTTTGGTTGGTTGGTTTTTAATTTTTTTATGTGTTTCTTATATACTTTTTCTTCTCCTTTTTTTCCCCCTTGATTCCCTCCCTCTCACTCTCTGCCACCCACCACCCTCCTGCACTGTCTCTGGTATCCACAGTTGTTCTCCATGCTTTTATACCACCCAATATTTCTATTTCTGTCATAGAGTTCAGACATTTGGTATATTAGTGGGAACATACAATGCCCTCTTTCATATTCTGCCTTGCTTTGCTTAGGGTACAATATGTTTTTTTAAGTATGTATACAGTGTGTAATACAATAAATTGAGGATATAAACATACTCTCCATTTTCAATATATAATATTACATCATGTTGTGCACATTCAAAATTCACTGTACTGGTTATTCTGGAAGCACATATTAAGTTTTCAATGATATTCTTTACTGTGAAATACAATTCTAAAGAAAAACAAAGTAATTAACAATCAGACAATAAAAAGTCTTATAAATTAATGAGGGATAGTTGAGACAGTCATGATTAACACTTGTTAAGTCAAGAGAGAAAATGCATAGAGGTATACAAAAATTTAACAATTCAAATAATCTTTAGCCCTTCTGAGAAACTAGAGATAGGAAATACAGATTGTAGTATGTACTTCTGTAATACAGTGGCTTTTGTCCATTATAATGATCATCACTCAGTTGATGCCCTTCAAAACTGTTGTTTTTGATCACTGAGTACTGGCTTCAAAGTACATTTCTGCTCAACAGATTGATAAAACTATAAATATTACATTCCACACTATTTAGTCTATGTATGTCTTAGTCAATGAAGTGTGTTTCTTGTAAGCAATGTATAGAAGATTCCTATTTTTAAATCCATTGAGCTAATCTGTGCCTTTTAGTTCATTTAATTTAATGATTAAATTCATTGACATTCGATATTATTATTGCTATTTATGGATTTATCCCTGTCATTTTGTTGCTCCTTTTTTTTCTAATTGTTTTATGTTCACTTAGTTATATTTATCTCCCTTTAGATTTCCCCTAAGAATTCTTTGAACAGGTGGTCTAATTTTAGTGAATCCTTTCACTTTTATCTGGGAATTATTTTATTTCTCCTTCACATTTGAAGGATAATTTTGCTGGGTACAGTACTTTTGGATGAAACTAATTTTCTTTCAGAGTTTTAAATATGTCTTTGCATTCTTTCCTTGCCTTCATTGTTTCAACTGAAAGGTCTTATCTTAGTCTGATGGGGTAAATTTTGTAAGTAACTTGTATTTTGCTTACTATTTTTAGAATATTGTCTGATTTTTTACCAATTTGGCTATAATATGCCTTGGAGAGGACTTCTTATGTTATATCTATTTGGTGTTCTTTTTATTTCCTAGATTTAGATGACTCTCTAAATATGGAAGTTTTCAGGTAATATAGCATGAAGGTATTTTCTATGCCTTTACTTACTTGTCTCTTTACCTTCTGGAATGCCTATTACATGGATATTTGGTCATTTCATCATGTCTTGGATTTCCCATATGTTGTCCTCATTTTTAACAGTTATCAGTTCTTCTTCTTCTTCTTTTTTTTTTTCGTTGCTGGAACCAAATTGAAGGTTTGATCGCAAGGTCAGAAATTCTTTCTTCTGCATGGTCTATCATGTTCTTTATCTCCAGAAGTTCTGTTTGATTCTTTTCAAGTTTTCTATTTCTTTATCGAGTTTCTCCTTCAAGTCATGGAAGGATTTTTCTCATCTCCTAGAATTAGTTGTTTGTTTTCTCTTGAATCTCATTGTGTTTTGGTATGATGAAAATTCTGAATTCTTTTTCTGACATTTCTTCAATCTCTTGTTTTATTGAAGAGGAGATATTATGTTTCTTTGTGGGAAGATATTTTCTAGTTTTCTATTTCTTGGGATTCAGATTTGAGTTTTAGTCATCTGGTGATACACTCACTTCTTTGTACTTCTTTGGAGTATGTTTCTGTAGTAGTGTGCTTGTTGAGGGATAGTTGAGACAGTCATGATTAACACTTGTTAAGTCAAGAGAGAAAATGCATAGAGGTATACAAAAATTTAACAATTCAAATAATCTTTAGCCCTTCTGAGAAACTAGAGATAGGAAATACAGATTGTAGTATGTACTTCTGTAATACAGTGGCTTTTGTCCATTATAATGATCATCATTCAGTTGATGCCCTTCAAAACTGTTGTTTTTGATCACTGAGTACTGGCTTCAAAGTACATTTCTGCTCAACAGATTGATAAAACTATAAATATTACATTCCACACTATTTAGTCTATGTATGTCTTAGTCAATGAAGTGTGTTTCTTGTAAGCAATGTATAGAAGATTCCTATTTTTAAATCCATTGAGCTAATCTGTGCCTTTTAGTTCATTTAATTTAATGATTAAATTCATTGACATTCGATATTATTATTGCTATTTATGGATTTATCCCTGTCATTTTGTTGCTCCTTTTTTTTCTAATTGTTTTATGTTCACTTAGTTATATTTATCTCCCTTTAGATTTCCCCTAAGAATTCTTTGAACAGGTGGTCTAATTTTAGTGAATCCTTTCACTTTTATCTGGGAATTATTTTATTTCTCCTTCACATTTGAAGGATAATTTTGCTGGGTACAGTACTTTTGGATGAAACTAATTTTCTTTCAGAGTTTTAAATATGTCTTTGCATTCTTTCCTTGCCTTCATTGTTTCAACTGAAAGGTCTTATCTTAGTCTGATGGGGTAAATTTTGTAAGTAACTTGTATTTTGCTTACTATTTTTAGAATATTGTCTGATTTTTTACCAATTTGGCTATAATATGCCTTGGAGAGGACTTCTTATGTTATATCTATTTGGTGTTCTTTTTATTTCCTAGATTTAGATGACTCTCTAAATATGGAAGTTTTCAGGTAATATAGCATGAAGGTATTTTCTATGCCTTTACTTACTTGTCTCTTTACCTTCTGGAATGCCTATTACATGGATATTTGGTCATTTCATCATGTCTTGGATTTCCCATATGTTGTCCTCATTTTTAACAGTTATCAGTTCTTCTTCTTCTTCTTTTTTTTTTTCGTTGCTGGAACCAAATTGAAGGTTTGATCGCAAGGTCAGAAATTCTTTCTTCTGCATGGTCTATCATGTTCTTTATCTCCAGAAGTTCTGTTTGATTCTTTTCAAGTTTTCTATTTCTTTATCGAGTTTCTCCTTCAAGTCATGGAAGGATTTTTCTCATCTCCTAGAATTAGTTGTTTGTTTTCTCTTGAATCTCATTGTGTTTTGGTATGATGAAAATTCTGAATTCTTTTTCTGACATTTCTTCAATCTCTTGTTTTATTGAAGAGGAGATATTATGTTTCTTTGTGGGAAGATATTTTCTAGTTTTCTATTTCTTGGGATTCAGATTTGAGTTTTAGTCATCTGGTGATACACTCACTTCTTTGTACTTCTTTGGAGTATGTTTCTGTAGTAGTGTGCTTGTGCACTTCCCTATGGTGTGAGTTAGCTCTGTGACAGTCTTTTCTACAGTGAGTGGGAATGTAGAATCCACAGCGAAAGGTTTTGCTTCAGATTTTTAGAGGGGGTTTTCTCTCCTTTTACTACTTGGCAGATTGTAGAGAGAGAATTTCTTCAAACCCTCTGCCTTCAGGAATTTGGTTGCTGTATACCCAAACCTCTCTGTTCCCAATGTGGCTGGAGGCTGAGCTGGCAGGTAGAATGTAAGGGAGTCTTTAGTGATCAGCTCAGGTCAGACTACCTTTTGCTTCCCTTTTATTCCTGACTGGGTAAGGGTAAGGGAGGTGTTAGTACAACACAGGTGAAGCAGCAATGCCTACCTTCTAATTCTGGGACTGCAAGAACCAGATGATGGATCTTGAAGGACAGAGCATTTCCTTGTCCTCCATCCCAAGCCAGCCTGCAATAGAAGAGGTGGGGCTTCTCCAGCCTTCCAGGACCACCACTTGGTTCCTCCAGTCCCAGAGAAAGGAGGAGAAGCAGGGAAGCAAAGGCTGCCTGGCCTGAGGTGATCATAATTTGTGTTTTATCTCAACATAAAAAAAGTATTTTCTCATTTACTAATATATTAATGAAATGATGAATAAATGAATATTAAAGTTCACATGGAATTTAGACATCAACATTTTATTTTCAAGGCATATTTTTATTTGCATGATAATTTTATCTTCTCTGATATACTTAGTTTTTCAATTTACTTGCAGAGAATACATTTTCTAGCTGTCTATAGAGTTAAGAAGTTTTAGAACACTAGATAAAGTATGCTCTAAGATCCTGGTAAAGATGGTTTTGGTGATATACTTGTCCTTCAACTTGGAAATAGAAGATGAGAGATCAAAAAGAAGCAAATATTGAGGAGGGAGATTTTAGGAGCAAAGAATTAGAGTTCTCAATGTGGCGAGGTAAGAGTTGAATTCAGGTAAGAATTAGAAAATGGGAAGGTTGCCTGAAGGCTCTCTGAAAGTGAGATATATAGTCTTCAATCTTTTATTTTCTGACTTCCGGGGGAAGAAAAAATTCAGTCATTGCTTTCATTTCCTTCCTTGTTAGACCCCAGAACTATAACATGGCAAGTGATAACTGGCAGCCTGGGAGTCTTCTGTATAATCTTGATAACAACAGTGGGTGTCTTGCTCGCAAATTGTAAGTAACTAAGAAACTAATTTGTTCTTATTACAACCAGTACATCAGCTATATCATGTATATATATTCAGTATATTCAAGATATTCTATCCAGACTGGATTTCACATTGTTAATAATTGTATCCTAAATAGTACTGATTACTGTCAAACTTTTTGTTACAGTATTCTCCAGCCAAGAAGAGCCAAGTAGAAATATCTCATATATCCCCATTCTATCCACTGAAATTAAAGGTGAGTATTGAGTCTGTTCAGTCCTCTTCTAATACTTTTGATTTGGAGCTAAAAATCTTATCTCCCCCAAACCCACAAAACTTCACTGAATCAATAGTAGAAAAATACAGTTTTATCATATGCCCAAATCTTTTTTATTAATTTTTTAATTATTATTCATATGTTAAATCACTATACATCATTCAGATTGTGAAGAGACTTTATCCAGTATTATATACACCACAGATCAGCCCAGTTGAGACTATTATACACATCCTTGTCAACAGATAAAAAGCCTTATCTGTGTCCCATGAGAGTCTTACCCCTTTGTTTTTCCCCAAAATTTCCTTTCCTACACTCTTCCCCTCCTACACTCTCTTTCCACTTTGTCTCTAGTATCCATTACAATTTTTAATGCTTTTTATGGAGACTGAAAGACTGGAGAACATATGTCCAAATCTTTATCAGAGAAATATACAGGTAAGATAAGAAAAATGACACAGAGGAATATGAAAAGAAGCAAAGTACTGAAAGTATAAGTTATTTGTGATTTTCATTATTATTGGGAGAAAAATTAGATTTAAACATATTAAATACCAAATCTGATCAATTCAAAATTCTGGTGGTTTTCTTTTTTTTTTCTATTCATCTAACTTGGAAAATAAAAATCAATCAAATAGGAATTCATCAAGAAGAAATGTAAATTAAAATCCCAATGAGGTACCACTACGCACCCACTGAAATGGTTGAAGTTTGAAAAGATTGACTGTACCAAGTATGGTCAGGATATGAAGAAGCAGATATAGCACACTTACCTATCAATTCACTCTTAGACATTCAAATAAGAGGAATAAAACATATCTTCACAAAAGATTCATGCAAAAATGTTTATAAACACATTACTCATAACAACTCAAAGAATGTAAAATATCAAAATGTCTATTACCAGATGAGTGATTGATTAATCATTTGGAGTAATATAATGGAATTCTACTTAGCAATAAAATGGAATGAGATAATTATGCATGACATGAATAATTCTGGAAAATATGCTGAGTAAAACAGCAGTAGAAAACAGTTCATATTGGAACACTGTGTTTGTATGAGTGATTTAACAAGATAATAATCTAGATAATGTTTGCCTCAGATCAGGAGGCAGCATTAGATAGAAGGAGGATGAGTGAACTTTTGGATTGATGGAGAAGTCACAGAGCCATATTTATTCATCAAAACTCATCAGACTGTGTATTTCAAATTGGTGACTTTTGTAATACATAAATTACATATCAAGAAAAGTGATTTAAAACTGAGAAGAAGGGGCCAGCAGGTGTCATAGTGGTTGAGGGTTTGGACTCCCACATGGCTGACTGAGGTTTGAGTCCCAGACTCGGTGGCTTGAAACTCAAGCTAGTAACGTGTACATGCATGCCTAAAATTCTGAGAGGAGAATGGAAGAGAAGGATTATGGCATGAACATCGCCTCTGGAGGGTGACTTTCTGTCTCTCTCTCTCTCTCTCTCTCTCTCATCTCCAGCAAGTGCATGTGTGCCCTACAGCAAAAATATCTCTAAAATAAATAAATAAATAATTTTTTAATTAATAAATAAAATAGCTAAGAAAAATATAATTACAAACAATGATTTCCTGCCCCTTTCTTCTTTCTTTGTCTTACTCCCCAGAGGTCATTGCTCTTAACTCATCAAGTTTATTTCTTGCTACCTCTACATTTCAAAATAATAGCGCTAAAACTGCTATTTCTTGAGTTATTCATATTTGATCATGTAAATTGTTTTCTTATCATGATTCATAAGAACACAAAGCCATAGTTCTCTTTTTTCCTTTCCCACTTTGTTCTCAACATGCAATGTGATCACATGAGGACTTTCCTCCCAAATCCATATGTCTCTAACTCACCTGTGGATTAACCTTACCAGTTACTGATGATTCTTTTTGTCATTTTTCTGTGTTATCTACCCCACAGAGATTCCAGCTTACCTTTCTTATGGATTCAGTGTGCTACTTTTTTTTCTTTTTTCTTTCCGAAGACAAAACTTAAAAGACTCCCAGATTCATTTGAGTTTTGAATATCATTTAAATATTCTCCATTTTGCTGTCCTACTTAATTAATATTAAGAATTTATAGTTAAGTAATATATTTCCTAAAACATTATATCATGGTTTTATTTTTTTGCTGTTAGTGTATTGACCTGTTATCATACTTGACCAGTCATCCTTTGTGATATATTTTTTTTTTGAGAGGTTTTCGCTATAGGGCGCGTGCGCTCGCCAGACAGACAGACAGAGACAGAGAGACAGAAAGCGAGAAATCACCCCCCCAAGAGAGGATGGTCACGCCGCAATCCCTTCTCCTCCATTATCCTCTCGGGATCTTGGGCACGTACGAATACGCGCCCGTCGTGAGTTTTAAGCCACCGGGTCTGGGATGCGCACCGCAGTCAACTACGTGGGAGTCCAGCGACATAGCCATTATGCTAACTGCTGGTCCCCATCCTTTGTGATATTTCTAAATGACTTCAAATTTTGTTTCTTTATTTTTTATTTCTAGTGTTCTGAAATTTCAAAACAATGTATTTTTCTATAGATTTGTTATTTACTTGTTTATATTTTTAGATCACTAGACACTTTTAATCTGTAGTTTTACCACTTTATTATTCTGGTTTTTATTGATGTGGTAATAGTAATTTTTAACTAATTATAGTCATAGGTATTTTTCAGATACCATGCAATTTCCTTTTATTGTGGTTTTCCTTTTTTATTCTCAGACTGGTGACTGGAGAAGTACTCACAGGCATATTTATTCATCAAAACTCATCAAACTGTATATTTTAAATTGTTGAATATTATAATGCATAAATTATACATCAAGAAAGGTGATTTAAAATAGCTAAAAGGGAGTCAGCAGGTGGCATAGAGGTTGAGGTGCTGGACTCACAAAGCCTGACTACAGTTCAAGTCCCAGACCCAGTAGCTTGAAACTCACACTAGGCACCTGAGGGTTAATACCCAAAATCCCAAGAAGAGAATGGAAGAAAAGGCATTATGGCATGGCCATCTCCCCTGGGGGAGCTGACTTTTTAATAAAATCTCAAAAAAAGAGATTTTTGTTTGTTTCATATGTTCTTATCTTCCTCTTGTGCCTTCCACATTTTTGTTACTGCTCTATGTTGCATTTTTTTGGACATTATTTTTAACCCTTTTATATGTCAACTATCTTAGTTTAATTTTCCAAGAGATATTTTCTGTTCTATAATTTTTATTACAGGGTATTATCATCCATTAAATGATCAAATAACACATATTACAGATAATTTTACCTCATAATTAGGTTCTAGATTTTAATTTATCCTTTTCACTATTTTTATTTGATATTAATCTACTTTTAATTTTTTAGTTTTGTTTTCTATGTTAGAAACTTATATCAAATTGGGGCCAGCTGGTGGCATGGGGTTATAGAGATGATACTTCCATGACCTGAGTGTATTACCATCTAATTATTTTATTACTTACATGCCTTTTAAATATGTAAATTGAGGAATAATGAAATTAAAGATGTACTAAAAACTGATATGAAAAATATCTGTAGACTTTTAGAAGAGTATAAGTAACAAACCTGGTCTTTGCTTCAATATATATTTTAAATTATTTATTTTAATTTTATTTATTGTTATTATATTTTAATCTGCTATAGTGCACATGCACTCACCAGAAAGAGACTGGTAGAGAGAGAGAGAGAGAGAGAGAATGTGTGAAAGCAAGCTGCCAGGTCCAGGATTCAAACCATAGTCAGCCATGTGGGAGTCCTGCATTCTAACCACCATGCCACCTGCTGGCCCTTTGTTTCAGTATTTAAGGAAGAGCTTGAAGCAAGGAATAAAATTATGAAGCTTTATTTCAGAGAGAAACATTTAGGCCATTGAAGGGGAACATGAAATTTGAAATAACAAACAAAATGACTTTTTTTTAAACTTTGTCTACGGTCATATGTACTTGTCACAGAGAGTCAGAGGAGAAAAGAAAGAAAACACCCACCTCCTGGTATAGTCATGCAGTAATCCCTTCTCCTTTATTTCTCCCTCTTTTGCAGATGTTGGACACACACACAGCCACCTAGAATGTTTTTCAAGCCACACAATTTGTGACTCCGCAGTTGGTCACATGGGAGCCAGTCACCTTAACTACTAGGCCATCGGCTGCCCCAAACATAATGTCTTGTGTCTCTGGTTATTATTTCATGATGAACAGCAAAAAGCAAATTGCTTAGCAAGTGCACTTGTTAAGCACAAGTTGCTTAAAAGAGGCTTGTTAAGGAAGTTATGTATTTTAGTAAGCTAAGTGAGAGAGGAAAGAAAAAGGAAAATAACAACTTATAGAATGAGGGTAGGGGACAAAGAATATGAATGAAAATAAATCACAAAATTCAAATATAATTGAATATAAGAAAAGATGCTCAATTTCACTGGCAACTCTCATTTCAAATCTACCAGATTGGTATGGATTTTTTTAAATATAGGATTTTTAAATATTAGAAAACTGATATTAAAGACAAATATGCACACACTTGGTGAAATTATGATGAATAAAATCAAACATCTTACTTCTTTGGAAGTTATTCTTTTCTCTCTTTATTATTTATCTGAAGATTCTAGCAAACATGTGCTATGATGTATGTTATATCACTCATTAAAATGGTAAAAAAAAATGGTAAAATTTAAATAAATTAACCATAAATTCAGGAACTTAATTTATTTATATATATAATATCTTAAATATGAATATTATTAAGATTGATCTACATTCTTTAAAATGTATATTACCTGAAAAAATAATGTAGAGTAAAAAAGTTGATATTATTCATGAAATTAGCACAAATGTAAAATAATATCATTTATTTTGTGGTATATATGTACCAATATTAAAATAACTTTTAGGGA